TTGTGGCCCAAACGTGGGAGATTGTGACCCAAACGTGGGAGATTGTGACCCAAACGTGGGAGATTGTGACCCAAACGTGGGAGATTGTGGTCCAAACAGCCTCCAGCCCAGCTGGTCCCCCCTGGTGGTGTCCAGCCGTGGTGCCAGCCCGGGGCCAGCCTGGTCCGTACCTCCTGCCCTCGACGCAGTGCCCGGCGGTCAGCACGGCCTTGCGGCTCAGCAGGACCCCCCCGCAGAGGTGGATGAACCGGACGCCCCCTCGCAGGACCTGCAGGCTCACGACCCACGGCCACGCGCCCTCCGGGGCCTCGTGGCCCCCCACGATCCAGGACGTGGCTCTCCGGGCCTGGGGCGGCTGCTGCTGACACTCTGCAAAACACAACGGAGGGGGGGATTAGGGGGAAAAACGGAGCTTTTTTTGGGGGGGTCTGGGTATTATTGGTTGGTTGCGTTGGGGTTTTCGGTTGGTTGGGGTTTGGGGGGGGGATTTTTTAGGTGTTTTGTTGTTTTGTTGAGTTTTTTGTTTGGTTGTTTTTTTTTTTTAATCTCCAGCATTCCCACAGCACAGGAAGGAAGTGGAGCTGTTGGAGCAAGTCCAGAGATGCTCCAAGATGATCAGAGGGATGGAGCAGCTCTGCCAAGGGGAAAGGCTGGAGAATTGGGATTGTTCAGCCTGGAGAAGGGAAGGCTTTGGGGTCACTTGATTGTGGCCTTCCAGGACCTGAACGGAACCTGCAGAAAAGGTGGAGAGAGACTATTTCCAAGGGAGTGCCAGGACAGGGGGGAGTGGCTTCAAAGTGCCAGCAGATTTTAGATGGGATTTTGGGAAGAAATTCCTCTCTGTGAGGGTGGGGAGGCCCTGGAATGCATTTCCCAGAGGATGCTCCATCCCTGGAAGTGTCCAAGGCCAGGTTGGAGCAACCTGGTCTCGTGGAAGGTGTCCCTGCCCATGGCAGGGGTTGGAACTGGACGATCTTTAAGGTCCCTTCCAACCCAAATCATCCTCGCTGCCTCGGAGGATCCCGGGACTTCCTAGCTGGTATCAAATACGTGTTTCTCTCTTACTAAGCTACATCCCTTGCGTATAGATTTGACATTACACATCTCGAGGCGCTGCTGCTCCTTCACGAACCCCCTAAATTCGGGTGCAGACGAACTTTCTCCTCGTGTCTGTGGGGGAAACACCCCCAGCCCGCCCCCAACTCCTCCCCTCAGCGCCCGGCCCCCCTCACGCCCTTCCCCGGCCCCGCCGCCCCTTCCCCCGGCCGCGGTGTGTCCCGGTGGGTCCCGGTACCCTCGTCGGGGTCCCTCGGGGCCGCTCCCCCGGGCCGGGGCCCCGCGAGCAGCAGCAGGAGCAGCAGCAGCAGCAGCGGCGGCACCGCGGGCCGCCCCCGCCGCATCTCCGTCGAGGGGCGAAGATGGCGGCGGCGCCTCAGGGAACCCCCCCCCCTTCTTCCCCCCGGGGGGAACGGCCGGTGCCGGTGTCCGCACGGGGCCGTTGGGGCGGCGGGGACGGCGCGGGGAGAGCGGCCGGAGGGGCTGCGGGGGGACGGGAGGGGCCCTTAGGGACCGACCGGCCCTCCCTCGGGGACCGACCGGCCTTCGGGGACCGGCCCTCCCTCAGGGACCGGCCCTGCCCTCCCTCAGGGACCGGCCCTCCCTCAGGGACCGGCCTTGCCCTCAGGGA